CTGTTGGTTAGCCGTTAGCGGTGCTGCTAACGTTACTAGCTCTCCTCCTGTTGGTTAGCCGTTAGCGGTGCTGCTAACGTTACTAGCTCTCCTCTGATTGGTTGTTTACAATGAAACATGATCAGAGATCAGAGACTAGAAACACATGTTCTACTGAGTGTTGGAGGAGAACCAATTTTTATATTGAAATCAGTTCAAAAAGCAGTTGTCATGTGCAGCTCCTTCAACAGCTAGAAGTCCAGGATGTCATGTGACCTGTCTGTTTACAAAGTCATTCTGGTCTTTGGAGACCTCGTTATAAATAGCGATCGCACCGCTTTGGTCCCGACATGAATTCACAGAGTTTGACGTTGTTTTAAAGTAACTCCTGATGGACGGCTCCATGTTGGTGCAGCTCAGCTTCCTGTTTCGTCCTCTTGACTTCCTGTTAGCGGTGAACCCTCTGCTGCTAGCGTAGCTGCTCCTCACTGTGCTTGCTTTAGGTTGTCAACTTGTTGTGAACATGTCGCCTCCTGCTTTTCATTTCATCTCCCCTCTGTGTTTTTGTTTTGTTTTGTTTGGCTCCTCCTCTTCCTCTTCCTCCACCTCCCCCCCCCCCTCCCTGTGTGTCCCCCCCTGCAGGCTGCTGAGAGGCATGTTGGACAGGTAAATGTGACCGACAGCCTCAGTGTTCATTAAAACACATCCGCTCTCTTTCACAGCTCTAATCCAGTTTACCTCCAGTGTAATGTTTTCAACCAGTTCATCATGTAAACTCTGGTTATTGTTGCTTTAAACAAGTTTTACATGTTTTAGCAACATATAATGTGCTTTAAGTTGAAGGTAAAGTTGCTTTAACTGGTTTTAAATGACTAACTGGTTCAACATCTCTCAAAAAAAGAAGAGAAAATTGCTTTAAACCAAAGGAAACTGGATTAAGTACACACACTGTAATTTATGCTTTTATTTTTGAAACAGTTACAGGAAGTTGAGTTTCACTAATGGTAACTTATTTAAAGAAAAAAACAGAAAAGTTGAAGTGAATGGAATTAATAAAATATAGCCTCGTGCTAAGCTAACCTCTAAAATACGATCAGTAGAGGCAGAGAGTCACATGATCATCTAATGCAGCTCTCTGATTGGTTGGCTTCCAGTTTGTTTTTCAGAATAAAACCTCATTTAAAGCGTCAGTCAGCTGCTGTGAGGTTACTTCCTGTTGAGACGTGTCCTCAGAGCAGATTCATTTCAGAGCTCAATGGTTACAAACAGGAAGTGGACTGAGCCGTAACTTCCTGTCTGTTGTGTTCATGCAGAGACGTGTCGGTGGAGCTGCCCTTCATCCTGATGCACCCGAAGCCTGTGGAGCCGCCGCTGTCCCGCCCACAGTCAGGTGAGTCACTTCCTGTTTGACCTTTAAAAGCTTTATCCAAACGACATGTTTCAGGAGCGGAATGTATTAAAGAACGCTTATTTATTCATGTTCTGTTGTTGCGTAACTCTCTTCTTTCTCCATCCTTCTCTCTATGAGACCAAGAAGCAGTTTCCATGGAAACAGTGGTGTGACATGCTAATAGTGTGTGTGTGTGTGTGTGTGTGTGTGTGTGTGTGTGTGTGTGTGTGTTACAGCTGTGCCAGAGATGGACCCCCCCATCGACACCAATTTGATAGAATTCGACACAAAGTGAGTATCGAGTCTTTATTATTTGATCTTTGTTGTTAAAAGTGTAGCTAAGTACACATTTGAGGTACTTGTACTTCACTATTAGTATTGTGCCGCTTTCTACTTCTTCTTCTTCACATTTATTTGACAGATTTCCTGTTTTTACTTTGAAGATTTAGATTTTACCTGAAATATGTTGATTTCAGATATGTAGTATTTCTACAGTGTGGTATTAGTACTTGTACTGAAACACAGTATTTCTACAGTGTGGTATTAGTACTTGTACTGAAACACAGTATTTCTACAGTGTGGTATTAGTACTTGTACTGCAGTAAAGTACTCTGTGGTTAGTGTTGTCTGAAGACTACAGACTTGTAGTTTAACATCCTGTGGGCTTCTGCTGTAAACGGTGACATCGTCCCTCGTTATCTGAACGCGTTCGATCCTCGAGACCAGAACCATTTAAACATAAACCTGATCCTGAGTGAGTCCGGGTTCAGGATTTAACTCAAACCGTCTCCTTCATGCCCTCAGCAGCGTCTCCCAGGACGACGACTTCGTCTTCGAGGACTTCGCCCGTCTGCGGCTCAAAGGCGCCGTGGACGACAAAGACGAGGACTGCTAGGAGCTCCACACACACACACACACACACACACATTCCCTGGTGGAGGGGGGGGGGGGATGAGGGCATGTTTGGACGGAGGCCTCGCGGGTTTTTGGGGGTTTTCAGCCATTTCATCTTCCCGGCTCCATTTGTTCCGTCTTTCTCTGTTTCTGTTTCTTTGCTGAAGGTTGTGAAGCAGCTGCAGGACAGATGTTAAAAAAACGTGAAGGAATGTTTGA